CATCGCAAAATCATACTTTTCCGACTGAATAAAAGGACAAACTATGAGCTAAAAACATTTTTTGTTGAATTTCTCCAACTTAGACAAAAATAACAAATAGCAGAAACTTCCTTAAGAAGTTTAAGAACTTGAGTATTTGGTATAATAGACATTAATAAAGACATAAACACTATGGAAAGGTTGATCAGAAATTGAAACTTCTAAAAGACACGCAGGTGGTAAAAAGCAACCAATTTAAATTGAATTCAGTCTGAAAAATAGAGAATTATGGCTTCGGTTTTCCTAGAGAACAGTTTTAATTCAAGAGAATAGTTTGTATGTACTGTTAATTTATTCTAAAATGCTTCCGATAAGTTTGAAATTCTTTATCAATAACAGATAATTAGCAGTATTTCGGATCACAATAGCTTCTACACATGTCATGAAAGTTTCGAAATTCTACTACGTTCTTGCTACTCGCATATTAAATTGTGACTATTTTCTGAAATTTTTACCTTCCACAGGGTGATATCTACCGACTGTAAGAATATTGCGTGGAAAAATTACGAATCACAACTATGTAAATATAAAAGTGTAGTCACATGAAGAGAAGTATGTAAACTACAATGACTCTCTTTTAAACAGCCATTTATTCTGACTCGAATCTACATTAAAACTTATCGAATAATTATCATACTCACAAATATTTCCATCTCTTTAAATTCATTCACTGAAGTAAATGGAAATAAGTTGTCACAGAATAAACTTGCAGTTTTTTTGTCTCAATATACTTGAACAGGTTGAATTGAGGAGGTCAGTTACAGTTTGAATTTCAATTCATGTATAATCCCCATCCAGGCATTAATGAAAAACAAAACACGTAGATCAGCGAAGAGTCTCTTTTCGGTGAATTCATTTTCTTAGCTGTACAATCGCAAATATATATGTGTTATTTTGTATGTATGTGTACAATAAGTTTATCAAACAAAAATACAATTGGTTATAGTTATTTTAACTAAACAGGTGAAGATTGGCAATTGAAGTTACGTAATACAAAATCAGTCAAGAAAATTAGGTGTTAGTGAAATTAGGGTAGTAACAAAGGTGATGAGGTGTCACAAACAGTTGTTAAAAGAAGTTATGTAATAATATGAATAGTTTGATGAGTGAGTTTTACTCAGGATGCACATAGGAACAAAGTAGAGAATACGAAATTACGTAAGAGTTCTAAATGAATACAAGAATTATAAGCAATTAAAGAACCACTTCTACTGTCCTGGAAACAACTTTTTTGATTTGATTTGATTGTTTTGACTTTGATGACTTAATTTTGTTTGTTTGCCTGTTCTTTAATTGCTTATAATTCTTGTATTCATTTAGAACTCTTACGTAATTTCGTATTCTCTACTTTGTTCCTATGTGTATCCTGAGTAAAACTCACTCATCAAACTATTCGTATTATTACATAACTTCTTTTTAACAACTGTTTGTGACAACTCATCACCTTTGTTACTACCCTAATTTCACTAACACCTAATTTTCTTGACTGATTTTGTATTACGTAACTCCAATTACCAATCTTCACCTGTTTAGTTAAAATAACTATAACCAATTGTAATTTTGTTTGATAAACTTATTGTACACATACATACAAAATAACGCATATATATTTGCGATTGTACAGCTAAGAAAATGAATTCGCCGATAGGAAACTCTTCGCTGATCTACGTGTTTTGTTTTCATTAAGTTTGAATTTCTTCATGTATTTGCTCCTTGTATTAGAGGAACGTCGTAATTACAACAGATGTTACATGTGACTGATGTAAAAGTGGTTTATCAACTTTTCCACGCAGATGGAACACCTGTTTAAGCCCTTTGCCATTACTGTGCAGGAAAACATTTTGCAATAGCCTTTATCCTCACCCGTCACCAAATCATAAATGAGATTGCGAAAGGCTTTTATCATCAGGTTTATTGTGTTTTCTGCTGTATACTGAATATGCGCATTGTATTTTGAGTGCTGACAGACATTTATGATGCTATCAAGAATAAGGTTGGAAAATTGATTGGTAAATCATGACATCTTTCTCTAGGGCACAGTTACAACGACGAGATCTAATTTCACTAACACTTACAAATGAATTTCAGCGTTTTCATGAATAGGCAACATACTTCACGAGAAAACTAGCTTATAGTTCGTAAACTTTGATATGTTATTTATGTATCGATATAAATCATATCAATCACATACTCACTCCTGATATCCATCATATTTTAAATGCACAGAAGGATCCCTTTTTACTTTGTTTATATAAATGTGGTAGCTATCTTGTCGTGTACTGAGAACTATTCTGATTGCTTCAGAGCCTGTAAAACTATAGACTTCCTTATAAACGTAACTTCACTAAAATCTAACAAAAAATAGCACATTTACATTAAGTTGAAGACTGTGTGTTCAAATGTTTAGAATTACAAGTCACACAGTTTTGAGGATTTCATCATGAGCTGACATCACTTGACACCATGAGCCATTGGATCGGGTGCCAGTGGCTTAATGGTCTACAAGCTCACTTTGTAACCAGATGGTACCGAATTCGAACCCTGGCGGTGGGTGCGTACTGTGAGGATGAAACATCTGTCCAGTACTCCCAGATTTTCCAATGGTTCTCTAACTGATGTCAACTCATGATGAAATCCCCCAGCCAATCACACACTTCTACTTTTTATAGTTTTCCCTTTCTGAAAAACTTGCTCAGAAGTATTTCCTATGCTTTATTTTGTTCAAATTGCTGCTAGAAGCAATATGTGATTAACATTCTGATCCCTTTTTCATGATGTGATTCTGCAAATGTGTTTTGAGAGAAAAAAGAATGAAATTTAAACAACGGTTAAAATTTATGTAGAATTCATACTCGTAAAATCTCAGAGAAACTGAAATGAGTAATTACAACATTTCGTTCGGCAAACTGGTCCGAGCTTATTCAGGGAAATTAATCAAAATTAAAGTAACAAGGGTATATATATATATATAAAGGACATCTCTCGTCTTTAAAACGTTGTCCAACTATATGAGTCATGAAACAAGCTTTGCTGTCAAGTCACACTTCTGGCGCCACGAATGTCTAGATGCATTAGCAATCAGTATTCGCTTCTTCGTTTATAAGGCATAATTCGCTAGTAGAAACAGTAATGAGAATGACTGCATGAGAATCTCGTTATATCACATATACAACATTTCTACTCAAAAATCTCGCTTAATCATTTAATTAAAAGGGAACAACAGAAGAATGAATGGCTATCATTAACAATAAGTAGATATCTAACAGATCTAGGAATGTGCGCTAAAGAAAACTTATAGTCAATAATGAAATGTGTCAAACTTTTCCTTACATGTAATCCATACTCAAAGTTGGTTTATTATATGTCAAACACAAAATTATGCTTCGATTGTATAGTAGAAAATGAAATGGGAGACATAATGTGTAATGTTCTTTAGTTTTAAAGATATTTTAGAAACATTACGAGATCAATAAAGACAAATCCAAGAGTATGCAAAATAAAATTGTGATTCAGTCAACGCTTACACTGTAATATCATTGGCTAAAGAGAATTTCAAGAGAAAAACCTTGTTCCAAAAGAATTTATGAACAACTACGGCTACTAAAATCAATGAATTAGTGTGGCAGAAAAAATGGGATTGAGCAATGCTCATTAAATATGGGAAGAAATAAAATTTAAAGGCGTATTACATATATATATATATAAGTCATTCTAGAAGATTTAGATATAAGGGGAAAAACAGAGAAAATAAAAGGCATTGAAATAAGACAATTCAAATATTAAAAGAGGAAGGAATTAAAATAGTTTTTAAAAAACAGACATACATTGGACAATAGATTGTCTGATATTTTTGATGACAAATATTTTTTTGCATTTATTTCCTTCAGTATTTAATCTTAGTTTTCTTCTGTTTACTCTTTAGTTCTGTTTGCCCTTACATCCTAAAGCTATGCCCTTTTTTTTCTTTGCATTTATCCATTTTTATATCTGTAGCTGTAGTTTCAGTATTTTCTAGGTTTGCCTAACAAAACATGCTTGGAGGTCACTGAGGTTTTTAGTTCTTGGTGTGAGGAATTGAAAGTTTCATATACACCAACGTGTATAGCAGTGTGAACCATTTATTTGAGATGAAAAAAGGCTCTTCTTTCTTCTTTAAAAGCCATTTTCCACTAGATCGTTATATTGCATATTATTATTAGGGTCTACTAGGATGTCTCACTGGTTTTACAACATAGTTAAGTGAAATTTGTATCTCTGACAGATGCGATTATTAAGTGGAGTATATATATATATATATATATATATATATATATATATAAACCTAGAGGCGGTACGAATAGTCCACTAGGGATAGGTTATCACAAGATGAGTCTGCTTTAGTTCTTCCAAAGGTTGTACATTCTGTTAGCTTTAAAATCAGAACAAAACTACCCGATAAATGGGAGTACCATTATACTGGTTGGTCCTACCTACAGTCATTAGTTTTCCTCTGAGATTACACTTCACCTTATTAAGTACATATCTTATGACAATGAAACAGTCCATGGCTCATTAAGTGAGTTATTTTTCGGTAAATCATAAACGTTGTTGGGAAACTATAGCAATTCTACTGCTAATACATACCATCATGTCCTAACATGCAGTAGAAAAGTGGTTTTCTGAGAATAAATTAGACTGATATCAAACCCCAGTGTGTGGTTTTTCTATTTATATGACAGATTGCACACACCAAACGAATTGGCTACTGATTAAAGCAATGGAATCCCGGAATCGAATCGATAATTTCTTTGCTTTTAGTAATCAGAAAACAATAAAAATGAAAATGCGAGGGTTTTTGCACATTTGTAACTATCATTTTAACAGGCTTTTATCAAAAGATTTTTCATTGTTATACGTATTTTGACATATACAATTTATTAAATTGTGATTAAAAAAAATGAAGAAAAGAGTCCTAATTCAATCAACATTTATATTCCTTCAATTATCGGTTGACATTTGAACAAACAAAGGATAAATATCCTATTTTGTTTATTATTTTTATTTTCCTAATGTATTTAAGCATCACTACCCGATTAGTTAAGAAGCAGCCACTTTTTGCTGAACAGGAAGATATAATTTGAACTCTGGTGGTAGTTCACTTTCCGAGTATAACCGATCACAAAAGTAAACTCTTCTTATACGACAGTTGGCGTGAATCTGAAAATATTAAAAAATATACGGAGCAATAAATAAATACCGTAAACATAAGAAAACATCAATTTACGTTTTAATTTTAAGAGTAGGTGGTTTCTGGAGTAGTGTGCATCAGTACAGTTGAAATCGTCAAATTAAAACTGCGAATGCAATTTGTCTAATAACATATGAAAAGTAACACTGTAAAATATGTGTCATATATCCACAAATTTTTCACATGAATTCACAGACATCTTTCGATGCATATTGTTACTTATAGAACTTCCATCTTAGAATAGACGGGTGAATAAATACTACTGATGCGTGAAATTCGAGTAGTAGTAGTAGCAGTAGTAGTAGTATTTCTTATTACATCACAGATAAAGTGAATTCTACAGTCATTGGCATAACTTGAGAAAATAGACGTCTCTGAGAGCAGAAGAAAACGTCTCTCTCTTTCACGAGAATTCGTAACAAATAATGACTAGCATCATTTGTTACCAACATAATTTTAAATTCTCATATTCATCAGGCATCAGTATTTGAGCTGTTGGAGTTGGTTGAACTAGTTGCTTATAAATAAATAAATGAAAGCTTTGACAAAATTGTACTGAGCCTTGCTATTCTCCATTGGGAATTAGTTAAAGTGATCAGCGAATGTCTGGCTACATACAGGTCAGGTGTGTGTGTGAATTATAACCAGTCTCAACACCTCCTGAAAAATAAATTGCTGAATATATACTGTAATCGCAAAGTAGACAACAAGAGAGCTGAGAATGAATTCAAATAAATATTGCCATTCATGTCTCCTCTCCTGCTCTCAGTAACACTTGCATCAACATTATTCATCCCTTGGGTCCTGGATGGAATACAGAGTTTCATAAGCACATCGCCAATGTATTCTGCCAGCTATTGTCTTCCTTAGCTCACTACCCACAAACTTCATTTTCTCCTCAGATAGCCTTCGCCACGTCAACCTCAGAAGCCAAACTCATCGACTCCCATTTTGGCTTGGCATATGGTGTCGACGCAGCGTCTCCTCATTGCATGCCCAATCAATCTCCATTTCCCTTTTTAAATTGTATGGGCAGTAATCGCTGTCTGGTTCGCTACCGGCCAGAGTTCTTTGTTTCTTGTCATTTCTGACAGTGAAGGCAGGTGTAGATGACATCGATGTAAATGATTCAGCTACTGTTTGTTATTCTGATTACTGCAGATCTCCACACTGATCTCAGAGTCATAAACGATGCCAGTCTTGCTTGCCCCATCCTGACTAAGTTTGACAGCCCCATCGTTGACGCCTGTAGTTGAAACAATGCTGCTTAAATACGTGCGGGAAGTGCCTTTTCTTCAAACTTCTCCCACTGATAGTGATTGATTTTTGTCTGTCTACCCCATATTCACTTGAAGCACTTTCTTCGCTGCTTCTTCTGACAACTTGCTGGAAGTTGTTTGTAGACCTTCGAGTTTGTGCGACATTAGATGCAAATCATCTGTGAAATCTGGATCTTCTAGGGTCGTTCTGTCAGTCCAGTGTATGCCAGTCATTCCACTCTCCATATTCTGTTGCATGATCCAGTCAACCACAATCAGGAGCATCATCGGTGACAGTAGGCAGCCTTATCTCACTCTTGTGTTCAATTGGAACAATTTGCTGAGCTTTTCGTCGTAAATTATTTTGTAAGTGGCATTATCATATATCTAGTGAATCAGGTTGGTAAATGTTCGCTTACTGGTGTCCGTAGTACTCGAGCAGCTGTGAAATAATTTCAAGGTCGAAGATTTTTTCAAAGTTTATGAGATTTAGTGACAGAATTAACTACCATTTTATACCGTGTTCAATGAGTATGGTTCACGCACTTAACCTCACATTCCTATCTTCATACCTTTTTCACTTCATAATGTGAAATCCCCTATGTCTTTGAAGTAAATATAGACACTTTTAAATATTAAAATTAAAGCCAGAGAAGACTTATGGTGCGGTTCACGTTAATATGACGAAATGTTTCATAATGTGGGGTTATTTTTAGAGAAGTAGGAGCACTAAGGAACTTCAGTCAAAAAGGAAGCACACGAAAGTACTAATTCCTTCACATACATGCTTTTTAGTGCTAAAGTGGTCTGTACAGTGTGAAAAACTTAAGATCTGTACCGAGACAATAAATAATTTAGTAAAGTCATTAGTCTTTAGGCTTGAGAAATATTCCCATATCATGAATTATAAGTCAACCTTAATGGAGAATTTTCTTCCCAATAAATTATCTTTAGGTTCTTGTAGTTATTAAATGTAATGATTGTCCCTACAATAAAGACAAGTGAAGCAGTGGACACCTTCTTGCGTAGAATAACAGATTCAATAATATTTGTGTGGCAGACGTGCTAGGTTAAATGGGAAAAAGTGGTAGCAACTAGTCAATAAGTGTAGGAACCGTTTCAAATGTTCGTGGGATTAGGCACGTTCGTCTACTGATTTGAGAACATTTACCAGCTTGGTTGGGAAAGGGGGATATTAAACATGAAAAGTTCAATTCTACCATACGTGCAGGATGAAGCCTTCTGACTTATATGCCACATTCAGAAGTCATAATCACTCACAGTTCGCCTACTTCTTCGACTTATAGCTGAGACTGTTGTAATGAGACCTACTAAACTGGGATTTTGTATTCAAAATGCATGTTTCCAGGGTTCGTTTCTACCGCAGTCAAACCTGGATTTAATGTTGTTCCCACTCTCCCCCGATAACGTCTTTTCCTCATACCTCTTTTTGTTTTTTTGTTTATTTCTTATTTCTCATTCTCTTTGTTTTAACAGTTTTAGTTAAAATGTCTTATAACTTATATCCTTCATTCTGTCATTCTTTTAGTGCTATCGAATTCTCCATTTATACCACTCCAATTAATTATTAGTGATATTATTTCCCTTTTCAGTATATGACAGCATCAGTTTCATTTCACATATTGATTATTTCACGATGAGTTCCTAACCACAGTCTTATTATCTCCTCTTTAATGCATACTGCTTTGTACTAGCCACTCACCTTACATATTTTACAAATATGAACTGATTTATCGATTTTCCCCACCATCGTCGTTTTGCATTTCACAATATTTTGTGATTGCATTCAGCCCAGCCCGTCAGTCGCATGCATAATATTCATTTTATCACCCAATAAGTAGTCTGCTATTCTATGTAAAAATGCATCCAGCGTACAAATTGACATTATTATAGGGATAATCATTACACTTTATAACTGCAAGGAGAATTCATTGGAAAGAATACTATTCGCTCGGCTGACTTTTAATTCAATAAACAATCTTTTGACTTTATGTTGCGGCACTGAGAAAAGTTCTTGAAATTATTACTATGGCAAGTGAAATAAATGAGCTAGGAGTTTGAGTGAAAATGAGGTATGATTTTTGTCAAAGGTTTTAATGTGTAATCTAAGTTCTTAAGACTTTCGGGAAAGAATCATATTTCCTCAAAGTTCCCTCCTAGACTCGACTTTGCTTGAAAAGTCAAATTAAAGATAAATTTGGCAAAGTTGAAATAAGAGCGAAGTATGCGCGCATACTTCCTGATTGCAGTAGACTGGGTAATGCGACAGACAGCGGGCAATGAGGAAACAGGCATAAAATGGACTCACACAAAAAAATTTGGAGGATCTGGACTTCGCCGATGATATATGTCTGATTTCCCACAAACTGGAAGATATGCAAGCGAAAAGCAACAAGTTGGCAGAAGAAGCATCAAAGATAGGACTTCAGGTGAACTTAGAGAAAACAGAGATAATGAAGATTCCTGGACAAGAACAACAACAACAGACAACGATCAGCATAAATGGGAGGAACCTGAAAGAAACAACCTCCTTTACCTACCTGGGAAGCATCGTTTCAACTACAGGCCGGAACTGACGAGGATATCAAAGCAAGGCAAGCTTTCATTACCCTCAAGTCTGTGTGGAGGTCAACAACACTCAGCATCAAAAATAAGATCCGGATTTTCAACTCCATTGTGAAGTCAGTGCTACTATACAGATCAGAGACTTGGCCAGAGCGTCATAAAGAGCATCTCAAACAAACTACAGACCTTCACTAACAGTTGTCTTCGCTCAATACTCAAGATCAGATGGCCGGCCAGAAAAGATCAGCAACAGAGATCTCTGGCAC